CGATTTCGTAAGTGATTGATGTCGTAATGACGTAGTTTGTCATTAGTAATCATTTGTAGGTTTTAAGGGAACGGGTTCCACTGCAATGTGCTATGTTGTTCAAAGATCTTTTATTCTATTACTTATATGATGTCTCTCATTTAAAATGGAAAGAAAGACATGAGGTCGATTTTAATTATTTGATTTTAACTTTCAGAGTTTTGTATTCTCAGAATCTCTTAGCATACAAAATAGTTTGATCACTAACTTTTAATTATACATACAATATTTACAAGTATATGAAACAAGATAAACTTAATTTATAGAATTATAAAAACTGGTTTAGCATTAAGCAAAATTTTATTATTAAGCATTTATATTACAATAATAATCTTATAAAATATCGTCTTTTTTTTTAAATTTGCAATTACACATACATATTTGTTTTTTAAATACAAACTTTTTGTGATACCTACTAAGTTATTAAATATTTTCTCCAGTATCTAAGCATTGAGTTATCATTGTTAATAACAAATCAATTCAATTTTGTAAAAAAAGTTAATAAAGCAACAGACAAAATATAATTCTATACAAAGAGAAAATACCAATCCTCAAAAAAACCTAAGCAATAGCAATTAGAAATATACTGAGAACTTAAAGGTAGAACTTGTATATTTCTATTTTTTTTAAGTTTAACAAACACAATATGATTATGCCTGTGTCAATGCAGAATAACAGGTTTTTTACAATATCCAAGTCTTTTATCAAATGACAAAAAAAAAAAGACTTGACATAACATCCACACCAAATATTGCTATTAGTATATTAAATGCATCTGATGCCAGTTTTACACACTCTGGTGTATAAAACCATTATTCTTGTGAATATCTTGGTTGAAGATATGATAAAATGGTCATAAGCAATTTGTGTCATATCCAAGTATGTTGCTATATAAAAATTAATTCTTAGTTAGTTGAGATTTTATAATATTATTGATATCTTGCTATTTTTCCTCTTCTTGAAATATAGTTACAGCCAATGATTAAAAATTGCAATGACCATCTCCAAGTAGATTATACACCTGTAATTATATATACATTTTAATTAGCTTTTTTAAAAAAGTAACTTTAAAAAATTTCTTACCTATTGCTATTTTCTAGTGTAATTATATCTGAGGCAATTATATCTAAGAGAAATTTATTGAGAAAGTATAATTAATATATATTTGTTACTTATACAACCAATATTGCAATATATATAAGTTATGCCTCTTAATAAATTTCTATTTGTATTTACTCAGGATATGATATTTACATAACTTTGACATATTTGAATTAATTTAAAAAAATCAAGATCAAAATATAGTACAGGCTATATCTATTAATATAATATAAGGTTATAATAAATTGATTAAATATTGCCTATACTAATCTGATCCCTTATTTTCTAAAATAAATATTGCTAGTGGAAATAAGTATATTAAAAAAGTTAAAATTATGTAAATAAAAAAAAAAAACTTATTTTAGCTACAACTATAAGAACTAATTTTAGTAATTTTTAGTAACTAATTAATAAATAAATAAATAAATTAACTAACACTAATTATTATTAGAAGAGATAATTTAGATATATATACCTCTGATACTGTATTTTGAGAAATATGTAAGACAAGCTTTATAGACATTGTAGCATTATTATCATCTAATTTCTCAACTTTAGGTTTTTTAACAATATTTTCAAAAGTATTGCAGATATGCTTGTTATTAGAAGGATGATTATACTTATGCTTGATCTTAGAAATCTTAATTTCTTTATAATTTGCAGCACTGTCAACAATAGTTATTTTAAAATTACTCTGCTGAAAATAGTCAATTCATTTTAAAGCTTTGATATTTTGCTATTCCTCAAAATATACTCTAAAGCATCTTGTATAAGGCTTAATAAATCACTATGTTGACACTCTGGCAGCTTGTTAAAAATCTGCATAGCAAGTTGAAAAACAGAATCTGAATTATAATCAAGTTTTGTAGTGTGCTGCATATATCAATGTTTATAAATCTCACTTTGTGATATATAAGTATGTATATACAATAAGTATACTATAATTATATGCTGGCATGGAGTCCTTGTATACTATGGATACAAACATATACAAGTACTTGGTGTTCTGATTTGCATCATATGTATTCTTATTACTTAATCATTAATATGCATTATATTATATATATTAGCATTGCTTTTAAGAACTTTATATTCTCCAAATCTTATAAGGTCTTATTGTTTTTTTATATAGGTTTCAAATACATATTGTAAATATATTGAATATAACTTTTTTAAACCTATATTCTTATCATCTTGTATATACCTATTTTGATATAAAAATGTTTTATACATAAATTTCTGAGTATGTTCTTGATATTGTTGCTAAATTATTAAAGTAATCTATAAATAAGAATCAGAATTAATTAAAATTTTTTGATTAAAAAAAAATAATAATAATAAAAATAACTAATATGCAATTTATTAGGAATAAAGAAGCATTAGTCAATATTAGGGTTCTGCAATTTGATTTAATTTGATTTAATCAAATATTTGAACTCAAATCAAATTTAAATATAGAAATTTCAAATCAAATCAAATTTAAATATTGTTATATTTAATTTAATTTGACAAATATTTGATTTGATTTGAAAAACTATTATTAAAATTTAAATACAAATCAAATTCAAATCAAGACAAATTTGATTTGATCAAATTCAAATTGGCCTAATATTTGATTTAATTTGAGTTTG